ATAATCCTGACTCGAGCTGGCCTCGAAATGGAGCCGGAAGCCTTCAAGAAGGTCTACAAAACGATTCTCAAGCTGGGCATCGTGCCCTGGATCGTGGAGGCGGCTGTCATGACGGTCATGTCGCACTATCTGCTCGATCTGCCCTGGATGTGGGGCTGTCTGCTGGGCTCCATCATTGCCGCCATCTCTCCGGCTGTCGTCGTGCCGTGCCTCTTCAGGCTGCGCACCAAGGGCTACGGCGTGGTCAAGGGCATTCCCACCTTGGTGGTGGCAGTGGCTGGCGTGGACGATGCGCTCTCCGTGGCCATCTTCGGCATCGTCAGTACAATTATGTTCTCGGACAAGGGATTGGGCTATCAGATTGCCCAGGCGCCAGTCTGCATTCTGGGCGGCCTGGCCTTTGGCGTGATCTGGGGCTCCATTGCGCGCATCTTTCCCGAGAAGGGCGACGCCTATGTGGTGCCGCTTCGCACGCTCATGCTGTTCGCTGGCAACCTGGTGGCCATCTATGGCAGCGAGGAGCTGGGCTTTGAGGGCCTTGGTCCACTGGGTGTGGTCTTCTCATCCTTCGTATCGAATCTGTTCTGGTGCAAAGACGGCTGGGAGGTCGACGACAATCCCGTATCGACGGCCTTCGAGATCTTCTGGATGATCTTCGAGCCCATTCTCTTTGGCCTCACCGGTGCCACCATCAAAATCAACGAGCTGGACTCGCACACAGTCTCCATAGGAGCGGGCTGCATCTTCGCAGGCGTCATCATACGCATCTTCATCACGGCTGGCATTGCCGTCGGCGATCGACTTAACACCAAGGAGAAGTTTTTCGTGGGCCTCTCTTGGATGGCCAAGGCGACAGTGCAGGCTGCTCTTGGACCTGTCGCACTGAAGAATCTGGGTAGCGATGCCTCAGCCGAGGAGCGCAAATGGGCCGAAATTGTGCAGACCGTTTGCGTCTTCAGCATCGTCCTCACAGCTCCACTTGGTGCCATCCTGATATCCATCACGGGCACCAGAATGCTGAAAAAGACGAAGCAGCCGCAGATCCTCACCGGCTGGCGACGCAGTCATCGTCCCTCCATACGCGACATCAGCATCATCGACGAGGAGGAGGAGCGCGAAGATCCCGAGACGCCCATGGATAAGGAGACCGACGACAATACCCAGAGCAATGCCCACTTAACAAATCTATCGTACACCGCAAGCAAGTAGAGTCCTCCTGTGATCTGCTTCTGCTCCAGTTCTTGTTGGCTTAAGATAAAATGTTGATTGTTATTATACGAAACCTTAGCTTAGTGGAGTCACATTCCATATACCATAATAATAATAAGTTCAAAACCAACATATGAATTTTAAATGTTAGGGGTTAACGAAGAATCGATAGGCTAGTAAAAAGTTATATGAAAATACAATGAACTCAAGATTATAAAGTATTATTCAGCATGGGCGTAGTTTTGAGACTAGAAGATAGAGCTTTCTCTGATGTAAATCTTAGTCTAGACTGATTGAATGAATGAAGACTTTAATATATAGAAAGGGTATACATTTAGTAAATATATTGTATATATACTTTATGATGTTCATATGTGCATATAAAAAGGGATATATTTTGGCACAATTCATGCGAGGGAAACATGGGAAGAATGAAGAAGAAGATATAAAAAGAAACTGAATTTTGTGAATATATTTACATAGATTTGATGATGATATTTAGATGATATATAATTCATTTAAAAATTGAGTAAAATATGTGAAAAATGTTTGATTTCTTTATATAGAATGAGTATGAGTTTATAGGAATATACAATATGTATATATATTTTATGATAAAAAGTTAACATTTTATATTATATTAAAAAGGTAAAGAATATTTAAATCAAACCATCCGACATCTAAAGTTGTATATAAGAAATTACATTCAAAAGCTGCTCTTCTTCACACATTTCGTAAAAGTTAACTGGCTTTCAAATAAATTGCTATTTAAAAATATTAAATAAAAATAGATAACTCTCACTATTTGAACACTTCCCAAACATTTCAGCTTATTTCGCCTTATGGCAATCGAAGCCGAAAATTGAATTTTACAATTGATTTCACGTCAATCCTTTTGTGTTCTCATTGCCAATTCAATTTTGATTAGATTTACATTTTTATTTTATTTTATAGTTTGGGTTTGTGTCGCTGCTGCAGCCCTTTGAGTGAGTCATTTAACTACCCTCTGCATCATGATGAATAGCATACTTTTTGGAGTAGGATCGAAATGATAAAATAATATTATGATGGAATTGGCTTGGAATTGGTTTCATATCACAAAATATTTACAACCTTTTTTTGTTTTTTTAATATAAACACAATATTTGGTGTATATAACAAGGAAAACAAACTGTAATTATAATCATCAAAGTTTAGCTTGTATTAACTTTAGTTTCAGCTTCGATTCACACAAAATATATATGAAGGCTGCTGTATTTATAGCTGAAATAAATTAATGTACTATTTTATATAATAATATTGCATTTTTTTGCGGAATAAATAATTGTTAAATATATGGAAATTTTACATTTTACCATATTGCTTAATTAAAATGTTATTCAAAAATTAAATTTATACATGTTAAAATGAAAATAAATAATTAAACACATTTGCCTGAAAACGAAAACATATGTATAGGTATAGGCATAGGTATAGGCATAGGTATAGGTATAGGTATATAGGTATAGGTAGGTATAGCTATAGGTAGACAGCTGAGGCAGAGGCAGGAGTGTCAACAGAGGGAGAGCTACAATCCCACTCATACAAAGTCAACTTCAAATACTGCTTCTATGATTACATAGATCCACAATATTCTATTCAAATGATTTTATAATGAGTTTAGCTATTATGGAAAGAGGTATTCTCTTCAGCTACCTTCAAATAGGGCCTGAAAATCCAAAACAAATTTAAGGAATGCAAGTTCGTTTTGCCTCAGTCGTAAACTCATGCCTTGAGTTACGTTGAGTTGAGTTGGTCACGTATATTTGAGAATGTAAATGAAACATTTTAATTATTAATTCCAAATGCCAACACATAATCATATCAATTTACGTAATATATTAAGCAAGAGTCGCCAGGGAAGGCAATGCTTGTCTAGACTCCAGACGATGATACTTAGAATGGGCTGATGTTTTCAACACTCTCGTGGTTTTCTTGTAGACGATGAATACACACAAAGCCACACACACACACCCACACAATAAAGAGTACACATCATAATTAACTTGTTCTGAAGCTGTTTCTCTTGGTTTCTTGGTCAGCTCAACCTCCTTTGAGGTTTACTGACAGCCCAGAAGAGCAGCATAATTACTTTAAAAATTAAATTTTATATTAACCTCTATATCATTATAGACCCCTGTGTCCCATACCATTATACAGAGTTCATATGAAATTGTTAATAATTCATAATTTAAATACCAAGCTGAAATTCCAACCAAATCGTTTGTGCATAGCTTTGTGACGATTCACTTGTTTTGGATTTCTAAAATAATTTTAATCATTTTATATTCATCACGCAATATTCAACTGCCTTTCGCTTGTCATTCTTAAATTTAGATTAGAAATTGTTGTGGAATTTTTTAATTTGTTGTTTATGAAAATTACGAATTATATTAAATATCTATTTTACATAAATTAGTTCAAAAATTCACTAAATTAGCTATAAATATTACTTACTGCTTCAGTACTAAATAAATCCATTTCACAGCTGAATATTTTGGGCATTAAATCATATCACATTTAATCATTAAACAAAAAAACTGGATGTACATAGTTAACAGTAAATAATTTGCTCGTTTTTTTCTGTTTAATCGGAGCTACCATTGCGCCAGAGATAAATAATACAAAAGTATAATTAACAATTTAAATGGCATGGGACAAAAAATTAAATGAATAATAAAATAAAAAAAGCCAAAAAATTTGCCCAATCAGTTCACATGGAACGCTCTGCTTTGTTGTCTTTCATCTAACGATCCGCATGACTTGATGCCACATTCTCCGCAAAAAATAAAAATAAAGAAAAAAGTATAAACAAAAGTAAGAGAGAGCTTTGAGATACCCTGTAAACTGAGCTGAAAAATTAGAATTTATTTTGATTACAAGTGAAAGTTATATATTGTATTTAATTAATTGATTAATTTAATTATAATTATTATTATAATTTTTAAATTTTTATTTAAAGTTATCCAATAAAAATGCAGTAAAATAAAAAATATGTACATATGTGTTATTTAAGTTTGATTAAATATATTTAATTTTGTATACTTCATGTAGAAGGATTGCATTTTAAATAATAATATTTATAATATATTATATTTTAATATTTTAATTTATTTTTTTTACATGTTCCAAGTTTAGTTTACAATAAACTTGTCTATTCTCATAAAAAAGGATTTTATACATATTTCATAAAGGGTATCTTACCAACCAACAATCTACTGCAAATTACAATATAAAAACATCAAAAACAAATAAACCAAAAAAAGGAAGAAACAAAAAGCACAGAAAACAGAAGCGATACAGTAACAAATTTCATTAAATAATTAATTTAGCCTCGTTAATATGAGACGCTTGTCTGCGGGGCGCTCACGTGAATTTGTTTAGGTAAAATGCGTCACAATTAAATGGCAAATACAACTGATCAAAGTTGACAAACCGAGCAGCAGCTGCTCGTCGAGGCTCACCTGTGAGCTGACCGAGCAGACTTGCTGGACTCATGATGCCCAGGCACCGGTTTTCTCAGGTGTTAACAAATTATAGCTAATTATTAACAAATTAACTAACAAATTTTTCGAATAAGTTTCATTTGTTGTCTGTATAAAAATCATAAATGTTTGCATTAAGCCTTAACACGTTTCACACACACAGAGAGAGAGAGGGAGACAGTTGTAGAGCTGGTACCATCGAGCCCACTAAAGACCCGTAACCCGGTCGAAAAGTCGAGCTCAGAATCGATTGTCGCATTTGATGATGGATTTATTTGCACGCTAAACGCGGAACGAGCTGGTCGTAAAGTTCGCGTTTCGCATAACAGTCGATAATCGTGCCGAGCGGCGACTGTGTGTGTGTGATGTACTATATAGTAAGCAGCCATAGCGCTAATAGGGCTCAATAGTCCCATAAACCTGTTGGAATCTAGCTGCACTTGAAGCTAACGTAACTCCGCCCGCAAAGTCATAAAACGATGACGACCAAAGCAGACGAGGGCAGACCAGCGGCGACAATGATGCATGCAGCCACCGGCAGACCCACCAGACCCCCCCCACTAACCATCAACGTGCCGGTGGCCTCCACCGAGGCGCAGACCCCCTCGCCTAGTCACAGGAGCTCCATTGTCATCGAGAGTCAGCCTAAGCGTCGTGTCAGCATTTCCCCTGAGACTCCGCCGCTGGCATCCAGTAATTCGGGCTTTGATAATCCCGCCTTTGAGCCAGTCTATATGCGTAAGATATCGCAGGTGAGTTGGGGTTGTTTAACGATTAACGACTTGCTTGATTGACCGTAAAGTTGTTGATTGAATAAGTGTGCTCGTAACATTCGTTCTACATCCCCTATATATGTGTGAGTGCATTCATTAAATGACGGCATCTATAATGATGCTCGTAATTGCTGAAATGATCCGTGTGATCAAGTGATAAAAGATCAAGTGATCAAGCCACAAGGGTTTTACGCGCAATATTCAGTAATGCTCAAAACAAATTCGATTTCGATTCGCGACAGACCTCAATACATTCATACCTCGACAATGGACCGCTTGGGCGCAGGAGAAGCATCCTGAAGGACTCACCACTTCCAAACGACAATGACAGTGTCGATCGTATATCGATGCACAGTTTTGGTAAGTGCAAAATAATAAAATATAGCATATAATACAAGTACTATAATAATAACTTTTTACTGATTTTCTTAGTGTGTTCCTTATAGACTTAAAATGATCTATTAATATAGACTATAAATCGTAAACTTTTTTATTGCAAAATTTACGTTTTGAATAATTGTATTCTCTAAGCAATGAGTAGAGACATACAGTCTATCAGAGAATTGCTAAATAGGGGTTTCTAAAAATATGGACATGACTGTAAAAATCTCAGCGCATCTCGTGAATGGTCAAAATGTGATTCATATTTGTGTTAAGGCTCTCGTCACGTCTGAGGATTAATGGCTAATTTTTTAATTAGTATGTGTTTTTTACGGAACTCAGGGTAATAAAAAACGTTTGACTTTAGATACTCTGTAATCAATTAAGTTGAAGTCGATCTCTGGAGTTTGAGAAATTTTCTGGCTTACCAAGTGATTGATGCTTATAAATATAAGATATATATATAATATTATAATCGATATAAGAATAACTGGTATCTGGACTTTTCAACTGCTAAATAATAATACCCTATGCTAAGTATAAAACTTTAATGAGCACACTTAAAGTTGCGTAAAAATGGAACAGAATTTGTTAATAATTTTTAAAATGTTCAGTGTCATATATGACATATAAAAATTAAAATAAAATATAATACAGTTTGTATTTAATTGATAATTTAATAAAAATTATAAATTAAACAAAATCTTGTCAGCGCGAGATAGTAAAATTAAATAAATTAAAATATATATTTAAAATATGCTAAGTATAAAACTTTAATGAGCACACTTAAAGTTGCGTAAAAATGGAACAGAATTTGTTAATAATTTTTAAAATGTTCAGTGTCATATATGACATATAAAAATTAAAATAAAATATAATACAGTTTGTATTTAATTGATAATTTAATAAAAATTATAAATTAAACAAAATCTTGTCAGCGCGAGATAGTAAAATTAAATAAATTAAAATATATATTTAAAATATAAAATTTTGTCACAGCTGTAGTGTAAAATATTCATTGCATAAATTTCGCATGCTCGCATGCTTATGCAGACAAAACTGTTGATGATAATAATAATGATCGCATTGATAATTAGATCTATTGAGAGCCAAGGAACACTTATGGAACTAATGTCAATTGAATTTGACTTCTGTCAAAAGTTGACACTAACAATTAACATGAGATAGAAAGTGACGTCGGAATTTCGGTCTTCGGTCATAGCAGATCGTATCATATGCAGCTGCCACACTTATCACCCAATTAGATATGTTTGCTGATTCCTGAAGTCAATAGCGTAGTGAAGAGCTTTGATATGACATATATTTGTGAATAATGCCCGGCGTTGAGCGTTGTAGATGTTCATTTCAAATTCCCATTTCTCAAGATCTTAAATCTTTCTATCCCACAGAAAACTACAGACAGAGTGCGCTGGACGTGCTTAATGCCAAAAACAATAATCTGCAGGCAGTACACGAATCCTGGCATAGCAATAGCAATTACGTGGAGCAATCGTGGATCTATAATTTATGCTTAAAGTGTCGCACAGAGGAGCCATCCGCCTCATGGGAGCCACCTTTCTGGCAAAAGATATTTCCCTATCCGCTCTGCCCCACCTTCAGGACCTTCTCCCGCCTGGTCTCGCTCATTGCAATTGGTGAGTCGATAAATCCCATTAAAGAGTCTCTCTTGACACATCTCTCACCACTTCAGGTGCGTTACTATGGATCGTATCATTTGTGATCATTGGACATGCGGCTGCCCCTGGCGGGCAGCTCTTCGATTTGGTGGTACTCACGGTTGCCGCCAATTTTGGTGGCTACATAATATCATTGACCACCCTGCCACGCCTCATTGGCATGCTGCTGGTAGGGCTGCTATTTCAGGTGAGTCTTAAGCCTTATTCATCTGATATCTTTTACCTTCATATTGAATTTGTGCTTCCAGAACGTGGGCTGGGTGGATCTCGATGGCGACTTCTCTAAGGTGACAACGCACCTGCGTAAGTTTGCCTTGACCATAATCCTGACTCGAGCTGGCCTCGAAATGGAGCCGGAAGCCTTCAAGAAGGTCTACAAAACGATTCTCAAGCTGGGCATCGTGCCCTGGATTGTGGAGGCGGCTGTCATGACGGTCATGTCGCACTATCTGCTCGACCTGCCCTGGATGTGGGGCTGTCTGCTGGGCTCCATCATTGCCGCCATCTCTCCGGCTGTCGTCGTGCCGTGCCTCTTCAGGCTGCGCACCAAGGGCTACGGCGTGGTCAAGGGCATTCCCACCTTGGTGGTGGCCGTGTCTGGAGTGGATGATGCCATCTCGGTGGCCATTTTCGGCATCATCAGCACCATCATGTTTTCGGATCGTGGACAAGTCTACCTGATAGCCCAGGTGCCTGTCTGCTTGATTGGCGGTCTGGGCTTTGGGATTATCTGGGGACTGCTGGCGCGCGTCTTTCCCGAGAAGGGCGACGCCTATGTGGTGCCCCTTCGCACGCTGCTGCTTTTCGTTGGCAACCTGGTGGCCATCTACGGAAGCGAGGAGCTGGGCTTCGAGGGCGCTGGCCCGCTGGGCGTGGTCTTCTCATCTTTCATATCGAACTACTACTGGTGCAAGGATGGCTGGACCATCGACGACAATCCCGTTGGCACTGGCTTCGAGATCTTCTGGATGATCTTCGAGCCCATTCTGTTTGGCGTGACGGGCGCCACGATCAAGATACGTGAGCTGGACTCGGGCGTGCTCTACATGGGCGCCCTTTGCATCTTCACAGGCGTCATCATACGCATCCTCATCACGGCCGGCATTGCCTTCGGCGATCGCCTGAACACCAAGGAGAAGTTCTTCGTGGGCCTCTCCTGGATGGCCAAGGCCACGGTGCAGGCTGCTCTGGGGCCTGTCGCTCTGAGGCATCTGAATGAGAATTCCACAGACGACGAGCGCCATTGGGCCAGAATCGTGCAAGCCATTTGCATATTTAGTATTTTACTGACGGCGCCACTGGGTGCGATCCTCATCTCTGTGACTGGGCCCCGAATGTTGACGAAGACGAAACAAGCGCAGCAGAATCTCACTGGCTGGCGTCGTCCCTCCATACGCGACATCAGCATCATCGACGAGGAGGAGCGAGAAGATCCGGAGTTGACGGCTGACAAACAGACCCAGAATAATACCCAAAACAATTCACAGCATCCAAACTTTTCATATATTAGCAATAATTAATATGAGAATTGTGTTGTTGTAAGGACTAATTAAAGTTTTTTTTTTTTTTTTATAAACAATGAAATACTAGAAATGCACCTTTTATCTACTAAAGTCATTTTCCATATTCCATAATCCATATGATAATCATATGGATTTTTCTTCTCAAACTAGGTGAGTACTTAAACAAATATTTAGTTTTCTTTATGTAAAAATCTTGTCAACTGAGTTTCATATCTAATTTATGTGTACGATATGTAGTTTTCCAAGTTTGTCCTTTCATAAATCAAAAATTAATTTTAGATTGTTCTGATACTAAGAGTCAACACATTCTGCCTGCTTCTCTGATTCTAGCTCCCAAAGTTTTATTGAAGAACAAATTTTTTTTAGGTATGAGCAAAATACAAAAAAATGATAGCCCAACATTCCGCAACTTACATTTTGGAATTTAAAAATATATGGTCTAAGAAAAGATTTTATTTAGTTTGCTTTAAAACGAAAAATAAATTCCTAATTAATCTGACGATTCATGTCGAACATTAGTAAAGCGAATATTTTGTAATTATTTAACTTAGGTGTCATTCTTGGAACTTATGAAACTTCCCCGACAAGTTTGGCTAATGAATTCGCATCACATAACGAAATACGGAGGGGGGACATAGAGTGAGAGCCCGCTGCAATTGACTATTAAAATATATTTTATGGCCTTTTGTTTACTTTGCTCGCGTAGACTATAAAATAACAAACGAACTATGTATTATTCAACTCATTTACGCTCACATTAAAGATCATTAAAGTGATTGAAATAATTGCTGAAGAACTGAAAATTGATATACTATAATATTTTCTCCTAAGCAATTAATTAAATTTGTATTATTTTAGTTTCGGTTTTTGTTTTTGGTTTTCATTCATGGGTAAATAGATTTAACTGGCTGTATTGACTGTTTATAGGTTGAAAGTTAAGTAAAAATATAAGACTAAGGAAATTTGCAGTCCCCTTGGATCTATCTAAGAAGCAATCGATCCTAGCTTAATTTACCTAATATAAATACAAGTCTTAAATACAAAGATCTTAAGGCCAATCAATTTGAACAAATACTTTATTTTATTATTTGTCTGTGATGAAAATTATAAATCATATATGCTTATGAATAGGTTAATAAGAGCTCGATGCTCAATGGATATACCTTGCTTCGGGTAATTTCATAAAATTTGAGAAACATGATCATAGATGTTTCTATAATTATAAACCGGATATAAAATTTTGTGTTAGAGTTTAGCTTATAAGTATTTCTGCACCGATTCGCCCAGAATGGTTTCCAATTCCTGTACAGCGGTGCGTGTGTTCTTCTCGACTGGCTCGTGCTCATCCTCCAGCAGCTCGGCTATGAACGGCACCGTCTCGGGCAGGAGCGGGGCGAAGCTTTCGCCCAGCTTGCGAGCTATGGCCACGCTGGTGTTGAAGGCCAGGATGCGTACTTCGGGCGTGCTGGTGCGCGTTTTGAGCAGCACCTGATTGTTCAGCTGCTTCCAGAGCACATCATTGGTAGCCGCCGCCAGCTGGGCAATGCAATCAGTCAGCGTTTGCTGCAGCTGCTCGCGATCGCTGGCTATTACCAAGCTGTTTTCCAGCTGATCCACAAGTGGCGGCATCAGCTTGCGGAAGCGATGATCGTTGATAAAGTCACCGCTGCAATGCAAGAAGACGTGGTGCAATGTGCCAAGAATTGCTGACAGCAGCTCGGCAACGTCCTCGGCGTCCATATTCTCTGCAATCTCCTGGTGCAATGTGTTGTGCTCCTGCAGCAGTCGTGCAGCATCCGAAATCACGTCGTCGGCGAAGAGCACGAAGAGAGACTTGAGCGCTGCGGCAATGCGATTGGTCAACAGGAAATAGGTGAGCTGCGGCTCGAGTTCATTCCGCTCCATCGCCCACTTGTGCACCCGACCGTACATGGGCCGGAAGCTCGTCTCGGACAGCTTGAGTATCCAGGCCACGAAAGTCTCGCTCACTGATGCCTCAATCTGGTTGATTTGCTGCCGCGGCAGCTGACGTCCGCGCACCTGCAGCCGGAACTCGAGCGCCTGCAGGAATAGCTCGGAGAGCGCCTCCTGTACAGGCGCCAGTTCAGCGTTACCGTTGTGCTTGATGCAGGGCAGCAGCAGCTGGTGCATAAGCACGCCCAGCTCATCGTAGGCCTGCGCCTCCAACAGACTGGCATAGATCGTGGCGCAACTGGGCACCAGAATACGCGCCTGCACGCCCTGTGCCACCGCCGACCAAACGTCAACGATGCGCAGCTTAAGCGCCTGCGTACGCTTGTCCTTCAGCAGCTGTGGATTCTCCAGCTGCACGGAGAGTCTTATGAGTGAGCCAATAATGTCCACCAGATAGGGTCCCAGGAATTGAGGTAGAGTGAGGAAGAGCTTGTGCATGGCTGTGTGGGTAGAGAGAGAAACATTTGATGAATATTATTTTGTATGGGAAAGAGATTTGCCTCACCTGTGACCAGAGCTGAGCAGATGTAGTCAGGTGTTTGCCGCTGGCTCACCAGCAGCTGAACCTGTTCCTTGAGCAGCTCGGTTAGCTGTGGCGCGAACTTGGGCAGCTGGGCAAGCGCGTTCGCCTTGATGCTGCCACAGATCTCGACCAGTGTCAACACCACATTGCCGACGACCGCCTTGGGCACGTTGGCGCGGCGCTTGGCGATGCGGGTCAGCTTGGCCAGCAGCGTGCGGCACTCCTCCACATAGTCACGTCCGTGGCGATGGGCCAGAAGCTGCATGGCCTGCAGTGCCGTCTGCTGCAGCTGCGCCTGCTGCGCATTGCTGCCGCCTGTACCGTCCAGGACGCCGTCAATAATGGCGCCCAGCGGCTCGAAGAGAACGCCGAATTGATGGGCCTCACACTGGCCGAAGTAGTCGGCGGGCGGCGAGAGCTTGGTGACAAGCAGCTCCAGCACCTTGATGCGCACATAGATCAGCTCGTGCTGAAGCAGCTCGGTGATCACATGGAGGAAGTTGTCGGGTGAGAGCAGCCCGATGGCATTGTCCAGCACATCGTGCACATGGTTGGCCAGCACGCGCCAATACTTCTCCAGCGAGGGCGTACCCGCTGCTAGCTTCAGTGCATTGTTGACCACGCTCACATAGGCGAGAGTCTTAAGTATGAAGTTCTGGTAGAGCGGCTTCAGCTTCGCCAGCTGTGAGCGCTTCAGGTTGCCCAGCTTGGCCTGGAACTCGGCTGTGCTGCTCAGGCTCGACAGGTAGTCCATGATGAGGTACTTGTAGTGTCTCAGCTGCTTGAAGCTGCGCGTACAAAGATCAAAGAGCTGCTGCTCCGGCGAAATGTTCCTGCTGGCTGCTGCTCCTGCGCTCGCCGCTTGGGTTTGGGCCTCCTTGCTCAGGGGCAGCTTGGCCAGGTAGTCCAGCAGATGCACACATGTGTCCAGAATGACCTCGGGCTGCTCGAAAATCAGCGTCAATTCGCGAGCAAACTCCACGCGCGTCTTGTCCAGTGGCTTTCTCGCCTTGCTGCCGGCGGCTGAAGCTGGCGTCTGTTCCAGCAGCATTTGCGACTCGAAGAGAATGCAGAGGAACTGCCAGAGATGCTGGCGCGGATTGAGCACACGGAAGAGCGTCTCATACAAAGGCAGACGACGATGCACAGGCACATCCGAGCAGATATCCGCGAAGACCTTCAACACTGCTATAACAAGGCGCTCGCGCTGCTCGCCCGACTGCAGCAGCAGTGTGGGCACAATGGTCTCCACCACATTCCGGATGATGTGCAGGCTGAAGGCGTCGTCATGGCGCGCCACTGTGGAGCCAACAAACGTGAAGATCTCCACGATCTTGTGCAGCACTTGCTGCGGATACAGTGCAGCGCAGCGGGTCAGGAAGAGTAGCGCGTGCTGCTGGGTCTGTGGATTCTGGGTGTTGCGTAGGCACTGCACCACCTGCTCGATGCGGAAGCAGGACTCGGGCAGCACCTTGGACAGCTGCACGCCCGCTGCTTGGGACACCTCGCAGCAGTGCAACAGGCTGGACAGGATTAGCTGCTTGGGATACTCCGCTGAGCTGTGCTCTTCCAGCGTCAGGCACATCTGTAGCAGCTCAAAGAGCTGCGGTATGAGCAGCTCGGCGCCCACCAGTTGCTTCTTGTGCTCCAGCAGCTCCAACAACGTCATGCCCTGCTTCCAGCTGACGCAGGTCAGATCCAGTTTGGTAATCGGTGCACCAGAACGACGTCTATCCGGCTGCTTGGGCGTAACAGTGCGGGTGCTCCTGCTGCACATGGTGGACAGCATGCTGACCAGGGGCTGGCACTCGATGGTGCAGTGCTTGAGCAGCCGATGGGCAGAGAGGAAGATGCTATCGTTGTCCGATGCAGTCGCTGCCTCCACTATGAGCTGCAGCAGCGCCACCTTGTGCTTGCTCTGCAGCTGGTCGTAGGTTTCTGGCGTCAGTGAGTTGAGCAGCACGCAGGGCAGCGGCTGCAGCTTCTGCTCCAGCTGCACGTAGGTGGTGTGGCGCTTGAAGCTGGCCTCCAGCAGCTGCCAGGCGGCGGGATTCTCAGTGAGAACAGTTCTGCCCGCCTTTCCCTCGAAGCGTTCGATGACTGCACAATAGATGTCGCTGTGCGGCCAATTCAGTTGCTCCAGCTGCGGCGTCTCAGAGCTGGGATCATGCTCGACCACCGCCCGCAGCGCTGCCTCGCCCAGCGGCAGCAGCGCCGTTAACAGCGTCTCGTTGTTCATGTGCTTCAGCGCCTTCAGCAACGCCGCCGTGCAAATGGCCGGCTGTTCGACGTCGCAGACCAGCTCCAGCAGCGTCCGCCGCAGCTTCGCCAGCAGCAGTTTCTCGCGTGGCGTGTTCTTACTGCTCTGCAGAATGGTGTGCAGTATAAGCGCATACTGCTCGTGGTCCATGCACAGTTCACTCTTGCGAAGCAGCAGGCACTCTACCAGGTGGGCCACGTGCGTCTCCAGCTGCTTCAGATCGAGCAGCTGCAACGTGGCCAGCGCCTGCTGGCGCAACGTTTGCAGCGGCGAGTTGCACGCGTTCGCAATGCGCAGCACGTGCATCAGGCTGCACTTGACGGCGAAGGGGCGTGGCCGCAGCACCGCCTGAAGCAGCTGAAAGCCGCGCACGCGCAGTAGCGCGTAGTCCGAGGATTTGCTGTACAGCTGCGGCAGCTCCTCGTAGACATAGAAGTTGCACAGGAAATCTAACTTGTGCTGCGGCTCCGGCAGAACATGGTTGAGGCAATCCTTGAGCGCGCGCGTCCACTCCCTGCGCTCGGCGGGCGCACAGTTCTCGGCATAGACTCGACTGCAGAGTGCATCCAAGAGCAGCAGGCACAGACGCAGTTCGTCGTTGACTTCCGTCCACGGCAGACCGGCCAGCTGGGAGAACTTTGTATTCTTTGCTAGCGTCTGCAAGAAGTCCGCGTACAGCTGCAGCGGCACAAAGTTCTTGTGGATGTTGTCGTTGCCCTCCTTGGCCACTCGGAACTGAAAGCCACGACTGTAGACGTCCAGGTGCTGCAGCATCTGCACACTCTCGTCTGCGCTCAGCTCGCGCTTCGCAAAGGCCGTGAGTAACAGCAGCAGATGCGTCAGCTTGGACGCCTCGCCGCGCAGGTAGTCAACGCCGCCATGCTGTTCCACGCTCTCCAGCAGCGCCAACTGCTGTTTGCCCGGCTGTCGCACATCCGCGATGATGTCCAGGAACTGCTTGCGATGCTCCCACACATTGAATGCTCCATGCTCAGTGTTCACCTGCAGCCGCTCCAGGAAGGGCAGCTTGTTCACAAAATTGCTGCTCAATATGATCAGCAGAGCTGCGTGCTCTCTGGCACTCAGCGCATCGCAGGGAAACAGATAGGGCATCAGGGCCAGCAGCAGCAGATTTGCATCGTAATTGTCGCTCACGGCGGCAGTGGTCAGATGCTGCACCGCTTGCGGCACCACCACATCCCACTGTGTTTGGCGCTGCTGTT